TTCTTATTTTGTTTCTTTAAAATCAACCTTAAATTTTCTCCAAAATCTTAAAAACAAGGACTAATGCACCAAAGAGTATCCACAGCCTCTAGATGACCATCACCAAATGCCATCTCACTAAAAGTCAGTAGGGCTCTGTAGTGAAATGTCCGGGTCCTTGTCTGGCACAGGAAATGTACACAGTAAGCCTAGATGGCCTGGTAGCAGAAGGCGAGGAAGCGCTCGGTGATGTCCAAAGGACACAGTAGTTAACTTGATGAGGCTCCCAGTGACTAAACGGGATCAATGTACAACCATAAAAGTAAGGATGATGCATTGAAACTTACCACACTTGTTAAAATATATAACTTGTAACGATCCAAAACATGTGCTCCCTCACACACACTCCCCAAATATTCACGAACACTCACTGATATCCCTGATATTTCCCATTTGGAGGATATTTGCTAATTAGTTCATTATCTAGGTAAATAAAGGAAAACAAAAACAAACACCATTTATCTTGATTTTGTTTTTCAAGTTTCATATCAGAGGGACTAAAATACTTGAGGAGATGTGGGTATCAAAACACTTGATGAGGAGATGAGAAAAGTTATGACCAAAAAATTCAGGTTCCTTAAACTGCAAAAACAAATAGATATAAATAAAACACCCAAACACAATCTAATGATATTAAGTACTCATTGTTAATTTTTAGGAGGGATACATGTATTTTAGTCAAGTTTGAAAATCATTACATTTTGTTACATATTTTGAAATATTTACTTATGAAACAATATGATGTTCACTTCAAAATACTCCAAGGAGGGTGGAAAAGTTTGTAGGAATACAGTTGAAACAAAATTGTTTATGATTTAATAATTGATAAAGCTGAGTAAATAGCAGTTTATTATATAATTCTCTGCTTTTACTAATGTTTGATGTTTTTGTCAATAAAAATGTTTTAAAAATCTACCCTGAGCCTAATGACACTCTTGAAATAACTTGAATGAGGAATATAAATTTTTTACATTATTTAACCAATTTGTTATAGTTTAACAGCTCACAATTAGACAATTTTTTGGTAACATTTATCAAGTCTTTCCAAATTATTCAAGTTAGTCTTCAAAAGAGTGTAACTCTTTATTTTCCCATTTTCATTTAGCAGCTTAATTAAATTATGTAATTATCATAAAAAGTGCAAGTGGCATAACAGTTCTAGGAATAAATACAGCTAGGCAGTAATCAGCATGATCTCTGATAATTCAGAGGAATTATTATTGACCTAATAGACTGAATAAGCACAAATTGCTACTTCTTTCTGATATATCTATAATGCCACCTGGAATGTTTCTGTAAATAAGACCTTACATGAAAATATGGAGACTTTTAATGCCTGAGAAGTCTAGTTAAGTGTCATATTCAATTCTCTTCCTTCATTTCATCCATAAAAATAAATGGCCAACTCTTGTATTTGGGCTGCATATCCATTGGGATTACCCTTTATCCTGCCTTCCCCATGGGCTGTAATTGACAGCTAAATTCTCAGTTAGTTAATTAGGATCCAATTCATTACTCTTTTTGGCCCAGAAGTTCCTCTGGAGTAAATAAATTAAGGTTAAACTTATTTCTAAGAAAACATTTACAGGGAAGTCAGGACAGAGATTTTACAATGAGCTTGCCAAGTTGAAAAAGTTCTACACCACCTTGAAGTACTACATACCTGAAGAGCAGCTTTCAACCTATCCAACGTGCAAGGCAGCAGAAATGATCAAGCCCAGCTCTAAAACCAGACTCAACAGGGGACATTTACTCCGCCATTCATAATGGCATCTTCCTGATGTCTCTCAATGAGAGAAGAGTCAGCTGGCAAAGTGAACCTGCTCAGGATGTGGTCATTTTTTCTTACACGAGTAGAATCTGTCAGCATTTTCTTACACGAGTGCCAGGAAAGAGGAGTCTGAGGTCTGCCAAAGCAAGTACAGGAACCCCCACCTGCCCTCCAGCGCCCTGAATGTTGGACGAACATTTCACTTCCCTCCTTGGGTGCAGTTTCTAGAGGCAGGAGGTATCTGCTTCTGGGGCCCATGACATTGAAGTGAGTCTGCAGAAACCCTTGCGCTCTTCATTTTTGGATTTCCTACAAAAATAATACCTATTATGGTTTTAAGTCATCGTGAGTAGATTAGTCTGTAACTTGCACTAAATGCATTTCTATCAACAGTAAACTTGAGTCTCTATAAATAAATTGTACAGCAGTAAGATTCTATAAATATAAATAGCTATAACAAATAAGCTGAATGTAAAACTGATATTATATAATATATGGAAAAGATATGTTGTAGAGCATGGATTTTATAATTATATCTTTGTAATAATTTTTTTTACCATATTTGGTCATTTGATACCTTATCAAGTTCCATAATTTGAGATGAATAAAAATGTCATGTCATCATGCAGACAAAGCTGATTAACTCTGGGTAGATGGATTTGTGAAGTAAGAGAACATTCATTATTTTTTTTTCTATTTACATGTACATAGTTTAAAGGAAGATATATTATCAATGAGATAAAAAGGAAAGGAAAAGCTTAAAATCATTCTATTAATTTCCAAACACATGTAAATTAAAATAAGAATTTAATTTTCATGTCTACTACTTAGGAAAATATATTAAAAGTATATTACTGCTACATGGAAATTTTGGGTAAAAAAATCAAATATTCAACTATAACTGTGTTCTTTCAGAAAGCAATTTACCAATAAATTTTTTAAAATGCGTTTGTCCAAACAAATTACTTCTTTTTTCAAGAAATGAACGAGATAATTAAGATATCTATATTTAGTTATACTAATGGTGAAAGGTAAGTAGAAAATTGATAAAATTGAAAACAAATCATTAGTCCTTTGTGAGGAAATGGCTATATAAATTAAGTTTTGTAAAGCTGATACACAGTTTTTCATACTAAAGGGATGGCTTTATGGGCAAACAAAACTAACATTTAACAACCCTTTACTAGGTATTATTTATTTCTCAAGGCTGATTTTTTTTTCTTTCCTAGTTCATAGAGGAAATGTCTGGAATTTAGGGAAGTTGGCTGATGCACCCAAAGCCACAGAGATGACCAGGAGCAGGTTCAATTTTCAACCCCATCTACTGAATCCTGGATATTTTAAAAGAAATATTTATAATAAACAAGAGAAATAATTATAATGTGCAGATCTAGTTACTGAAAAAGCTCTTCAATCCAATCCAGTCTAAATAAATACTTACATAATTAAAATTCTTCAAAACTCACGCATTACATATAAAAAGAGTTAAATGATTATGATAGTTTTTAAATAACTAAAAATTAAAAATTATTAGTCTGTCTATTCCAAGCATGCCCTTGCTTGGAATATTGAATCTGGAAATGAAGTTGCACTTCTTTTTTTTTGCTAAATACGGTTGCCTTCATTTTCTTTTTCCTTGCCCAGCCCTATCTAAACAAAATAAAAGTACAGGACTGAAATTAACAACCCATTAAAATCAGCAATAAGTTATGAAAATCATAAAGCGTTTTTTAAAGTAATTAAGTGTAGTTAAATTATTTAAAGTATACAAAGTCCAAAGAGCCCAGGGGTAATGTCTCTAAGAAGGCTTCCCTGGGTTAAGGGAGGGGGTCAAGAGGGAACTCTGAAGTTTGAAAAACAAAAGAAACACATGACATCTAAGTGCAGACTAGAAAATAAATTTCACTTAAAAAGAAAATAACATTTCTGAATATATTGATAAGAGCAACAATAGTGCCTGCACAGTGGGACTGTGAGGAAGGAGAGAGATTGCCTATAGGAAAACGGAAGCCAATCTTTACATTAAAATGACACAAGTGCTGAACTTAACTATGTTAACTATGGTAGTGTGTCTACTACAGGTATCAGATGGCTAAAAGCTGGTGGAAGTTAATGATTATAAAAGAAAATAAAAAGAGCATTGACCTTTTTCCTATCTAGCCCAGACCTCATTCATTTTGTGCACTGTGAAGAGTGAGGCATGAGGTGTTTTATCATTATCAAATGCTGCATCAAAATAGATGATTTTTTCTCATGTGTTTTTCCACTATAAAAGACATCTATGTTTTTTATGGACAAGCTTTAAAAAGATGACATTTTAGTTTTCAACACATTCTAACAGTTATCAAAAGCTGAAATAAAAATGCTGCGGTGGCTCAGACCCTGGCCTGCTAATCTGCGTGCACAACTCCTCTGGTCCACTCAGGCACCTGGAGCTTCCTTCTGGCCCCTCAATCCAAACTCATAGGGCCCTGTCTGGTGGAGGTTGTCATGAGTGGACTGCCCCCATGCTGCCCAAGACCTCAGGGTGGCTGACTGCCGTATTGGCGGTTGGGTGCCCTATCAGTGCTAACAATGCAGGATAAGGTTAGCTTGCTTTTAGCGTGGAATCCAACAGAAAGCTGAGCTGTATGATAATCCCTTTCAAAAGGCTTCATGGGAGTCTCCTTTCGCAAAACATGAAATGACCTTTATTTTTTAAATAATTGATCATCCATAAGCTTCATGATAAACTGTCCCAGGCTGAGTTTTAATAGCTCTTTAGCTATCCAAGATTAATGCCTGATTATCTTGTGTTTGCATTACTATAGGTTTGATTTTTTTTTTTAGGACCGTGAAACTCAGGAAGAGTTCATAATCCTATCCTTAAATTAAATGTCTACTCAATGTAGGAGAGCAAACTAGAAAAGGAAAAGAGGAATCTCCAAAGTCGTCTCTCAAATCAAGAAAAATTCACTCAAGTTTTTCTGCTGCCATTAGAAATTGTGATTTTCAAAATATGAGTATTACAAATATTTGTTCTGCTGGGGAGGCTTTGCCCCACTTTTTGCTAAGTATTTGCTGTGGTCTTTTGACCCTTTTGTTCAAGCATACTTTTGTTTACTTTAAGAGGAGACTGCAGCATGAACCCGATTTAGGAGGCTGTTTGGATTGAACTGGCCCGGTGAATATTTTGCCCTGCACTGTTACCTCATTCTGGGTTCCAGGAAGGGAAAGAAAGTTTGACACGGGCCCTGGAGTGACCCTTGTCACTCCTGATACTCTGCAGGCTGCTGTGCTCATCAATGTCACGGATGCTGGTGCTACTGATACTGTCCACTTCTCCATGGGAGAACTCTGTGCTTTCAACATCCACTTCAATCTCCTCTCGCTCTGAATCAGAACGATCTGAAGAAATTGTTGATCCAGTGCTGTCCATTCGTATTTGTTCCATCTCCTGAGCACCCTTTCAGCTGTTCCAGTCGCTGCTTTAAAAAATCTCTGTTCTCGTTCCAAGTTTTCTAGCTGGTGCTGTCTCTTCTTTTCAGCTTCTTCACGTTTCTTGATGTGGGCTTTGACTTTGTTGAGCAAACCAAGCGTCGTGTGCCTGGTGCAGTCTGGTCCTAGTGGAATCAAAACTTTTACGCTTTCTAAACACAGGCGCAGTTGAGCTTGTCGATTCTTTTCCAGCTCATTATGCATAGACCCATATTCATGGATTCACAGATCTTAAATCTTTGTGGTAACAGGTTGCTCAGTCCCGGCGCTCCAAACCCACTGGCCGCCTCAGCAGGCGCTGCACGTTGATCATCCACCCCAGTTCCTTGGGCACCGCAGGTGGCGACCAGGGCCTCTCTGTGCTCCCCTTCCTGGCTAACAGGAAGCGCCTCTGAAAGCTACAGTCCGGCCCTGCCCCCGGACATGTAGGGCTGATGGGCCAGGTAGCCCGGCTGCAGCTCCGAACGCTCTCAGCCACCTGCCACAGCTGCCACTCCCGCCGAGCCCACCAAGCCATTCATGCAAGTCTCACCGCCCACAGTGCATGCGCTGTTTGTTTGAATTTGCATTTTTATTACATAAAAATTATATAGATTTAAGGTGCACATGATTTTTTAATATACATATGTATGGTGAAACGATACTTCAAGCTCGCTAACGTATCTTCTCATAGTTACCTTTCTGTGTGTCCGTGGTATTTGAAATCTACTCTTCTATCAAATTTCCAGTACTCAATACAGTATAGCTCCTTATTGTAACCACACTGTACATTAGATCGCTATACTTACTCATCCACACAACTGTAACGCCATACCCTGTGACCAACATCTTCCTATTTCCCTGACTCCCACAGCCCTGGTAACCACCATTCTATCTCTGCTTCTATGTATTCAACTTTCATAGATTACGCATGTATGTGAGATTTGCAGTATTTTTCTTTCTGTGTCTGGCTGATTTCACTTTGTATGTCCTCCATTGTCATCCATGTTGTTGCAAATGGCAGGATTTCCTTCCATTTTAAGACTGAATAATATTCCATTACATATGTATATATGTGTGCATGTGTATGTAATGGAATATTATACATACATACATATGTAAACACTGACATAATGTATTGAATGGAATGGATATATATGTGCCACTATCTTTTTATCCATTCATCCATCAGTGGACTCTTAGATTGTTTCTCTATCTTGGCTATTTGTGAAAAACACTAGTAAACACAGGAGCACAGATATCTCTTCATGGTACTGATTTTACGTCCCTTGAATATATACTCAAAAGAGGGATTTCTAGATTTTGTGGTAGTTCTATTTTGAATTGTTTGAGGAATCTTCACTCTCTTTTACATAGTGGTTTCACCACTTTACATTGTCACCAACCATATAGAATTCCCATTTCTCCACATACTAGCCACCACTTGTTATCTGTAATCATTTATCGTAATTGACATTCTAACAGGTATGAGGTGATGTCTCATAGTGGTTTTGATTTGCATGAAAATAATCTTTAAACCTTAGAACAAATCCAGAGTGTTTAAGGTATTTCATCTCCATGGACAATCCCAACCAGTTCTACACAGTCTGCACAAGTTCCCATCATCATACCATTAATACATGCAACAAGAATATGAGAGTCTTTGTTCAAAGTAAGAACTTGATAATGTGTCCTTACTGTTAAACATGCCTAAAGTTTTATAGTATTCATGATAGAGTGTAGCAACCATATTTCCCTTAATATTATACATAATCTCATTTAGAATTTTTTTATTTTTGAGTAACATTTCTATGTGAGATATAATCATTTATGCCTTGCAGTGTGCCAACCAAGACAGGCACATGACAAGGATTCCCCCCCACTGGTTTTATAAAGAGCCTTTAGCTAGAAAAATTTGGCCTTTAAATATCTATCAAATCTATGTGAATAGAAGTGCTCTTTTGACCTTAGTCACCAAAGAAAATAGAGATAGACTTCCACTAAACTGATAGAAACTTTCTTTAGTCTTGGTTTTAAATACAATTATCCCATAATCCCCTTTTCTTCTTGACTCTTGCCATCTTATTCTTGAGTTTATTGTTTTTAATTATGTTAAATATTTACTGTACCTCAAATCACCTTGGTCCACTTAGGAGTTCTATGTAGTAGGTTTTCAAATTCTTTCTATCTTCTGAGCATTACTAGGTGGCTAATATAATAAATTGTAAATGCTAGGTTTTAAAAAGAATATGTCCTATGGCTAAATATCCCTTTAATTATTACAAAGATTTTAAACAAAATATAAGTATCAAGACTTTAACAGTGAAAAGTGCCTGGAGCTCTGGATTAGCACAATAGGCAGAATTAATTAATAATTATCCTCTTCTACAGTAATTGATGTAAATACTGACTTTCTTTGTGCCCTCATTTCCTGTGCTGACTCATCCAGATGAATATAAATGTATGTGCGAACACACCACACACACGGAACAACACATTGCCTCAATTACATGTATAAGCTGATGTATCTCACCTACTCAAGCAAGTCTTGTGATATGAAAAGAGTACTTTAACGGATGAGGACGTCATAGGGATATAAGAACAAAAGTCCACATTACTCCCTGAAGTTCAGCTCTTGGGACAGTGTGGCTCCCAAGAACATAGACACATGCACACAAGCCCTGAATTCTGTGTATTTTCGGTTGGTCACTGTAGGTAAGCTAATTACCAAAATCCTATTTTTCTCTGTTATAAAACAAAAGGGATAAAACTTGCAACACAGAATTGTTCTAAGGATTCAATTACGCAGTCTGCACGGAAATGTCTACAGGAGGCCATAAATCTCTTTTTCAGTGTGACTGTGTGTGTGTGTGCGCGCATATGTTGCTTAATTGTGTATTCGTGCTGTATTATGACATGGGATTTTTTTTCTTGAAAGGCAAGCTTTCTCTATGGTTTAGTAAGGGAAAGAAAAGTTATACATAGCCGAGTAGTTGAGTTTCCAGCTGAAGTGAAGGGGAGAGGCTTCCTAGGAAACATCAAGCCTTTGTGGTAAGAAAGAAGCACTCATACCTTTTGCCAAAAACGGATAAGGACCAGGCATCATTCAGACATGCCCTTAGAGGGATTCTGTCACAAAGAATGCCAAGGTGAGCATTCCAGTGAGCACAACGAGCCCAAACACCCTGAGAAGGGCTGGGAGCCTCGCGGGAGCCAGGTACCTGCCACTGAGACGGTGGCATTATGGTTCTATGTCCAACCGTCTGCACTCCAAACGTCTGCTGATTACATTTCAGTCACACCTGAGAGGACAATGTCCTGAGCAGGGAGCTGTGCCTGCAATCTGATGGTCATTCTCAAAAATCACCAGGACATTAGACCACATGGGCCCACTGTATCCAGAGGGTGATGAGGAAAGGCCACCCTGTCATATTGTGGGGTGAATTAAGCATGGGAAAAAGCCTCTTAAGCTAGGAAAATTAGGAGAAGACACTAGAAGAATTTAAACAGCCAAATGGATATCGATCACATACAAGGTTAATATTAACAACTATGTTATTGATATTTGTTCATTGTTAAGAATGACCACAATTACATTCATTTTCCCATTCATATAAATATACCTTTGATTTTAAGGTTTCAGGATAATTTAAACCATCGTTTCATTTATCTTTTATCATGCAAATTATAAAAATATAAATAATATATAGTGTCACACATGCATGAGGCTCTTCTATTTCTTTTTGCTCCTATGGTCTTTTCTTATGTTAACAAGCATTCTTTTGTTGCTTCTGCCAAAGATGTGTATATACATA